CACGGCGTGGCTCGCCTCAACCCCTTTAACTTTATTTCGGGGTTTTGCGGGTTCGGGGGTTTGGTGACCACACGTATCCCGACTCTGTAACGCGACCTCCGTTCTGTACCACGAGCAGGTAACAGAGCTAAAGCACGGGGACGTGTTTATTTCCCGCTGAATGGAGCTACCGGCCAGCGGAGCGGGGACTCGAGTCCGTCTCCCGGTGAAAATGGCCAAAAGACAGTCGAACAAGCGAAGAGACGGAGAGATTAAATAGAAAACATGTTAACACAGACAGATAAATGCCCGGCCGGACCGTTCCTCCTCTGCGAACACACGCGTCTGTGAACGCTCGCATCCCAGCCGGTCACCAAGCACGGCCGCGGGGACACAGACCTGGGCACAACTCTGTCAGGGACTCATTGCCCCTCACCTCCTCACACACACTTTTTCATGTTGCCACATGCCCACACACTCGTGCCGCAGAAATAAAACGTGTGGCTAAAGCCGCAGGTGCGGAGATGGTTGGAAAGTTGTAAAAAGCACCTCGACTTGAGGGTGTCCTGCCGGGAAACCTGGCGTGTTCAGACCCCACGGGCGAAGAGGTTTTTGCGACTCAATTTCAAAGACAAGGCTGCAGCGTTCCCATTGATCCTCACGGAGCAAAAAATAACCTTTACCCGAAACAGTGACCAGGAGGGACTGGGAAGACAGAAAGTGGGGAAGGAATCTTTCCAGGTTAAAATGTGGGGAACTGCCTTATGGTTTCCAAACAAGCCAGAGCTGAGGAGGTGACCTTTCGGGGAGGGTAGGAGAAGGTGGGGGTTCAAAATACAGAATAGCCACAGATTGTTGCTGATGTTGGATTTCCTGAGGAAAAAAATAAAAGCCAAAACCCAAAGCACAACCCAACACCAACCTTTCCTGTCTCGAATCTGACAAAGTAAACAGGATTAATTCACCATATGAAAAAACATAAACGCCGTCCTAACAAATGCAGAAATCACAAGATAAAGCGGTTTTAACAGGACGCACAATATTGATAGTTTGAACGTATGATCGTAAAAATGAAAAACCATTGATATACGCTTAAAAGCCGCCGTATACGCTGATTGCTCAAGCATTAATGAAGAATGCCCCAGATTAACTATTTGCTCTTCGAGGGATGCAGCGATATAACTATCTATTAGCACCATTAGATGCTTTGCTATTTATTTGAAAACACCCCTGCGAGTGGGTTGAGACAGAGGAGATGAATGTAAAAATGAACTGCAGCTAATTTCGCTAAATAATCCTCGAAACCTGAGCGCTTCGCAAGGAAGGGGGAGATTCTCCACTGTCCTTCTCCGAGGCTTAATGACAATAGAAATGCTCTGGTTTAAAAGTGAGACCGTGTTGATTTTCCAAATAAACAAACGCATCCCTCCTGCCATTTTACTGCAGATGTAAATTTATTTTAATGAGAGGGAGTGGAAGGATTTATTTTGCTAAAATTGAGTTGGGGATAGAGCCGGTGTAAATCTTTAGGTTTCAAAAAGAGAGGAGGAAGGAGGGGGAAGCTGCTTTCCTGGCAGAAAGCTGCCTAACAGTCCTCTAATTCTTTCTAGATTAAATCGCAATATGAATACAGCATCGAACAAATACCGAGTTTCGCTCTGAACTCAGTGGAAAGCAGTTACGTCTAACAGAATTCAATGAATTCCTCTTCTCCCTCAATGTAGTATGTGTGTGTTTTTCTCTTCCACCACACTGAAGTTCCATGAATAGGGAAAGTGGCTCCTATTGTGTGCCTCTGAACTTCCAAGTCAATGCAATTTTTAACCACTGGCTTGTGGTACTTTGAAAATCACCAGGGGCTGTCAGAGTTGGGTCCTCTGAAAAATTTACAGTGCTAAATCAGAGCATATGCTGTGAGAGAGGAAAAAAAATTGCTTAAGATTGGAGCAAGTACAGTATCTGGCTGCCCCCTAGTGTAAGTCTCTTATCTGCCTAAAATTCAACTTTAAAAGAAAAGGATCTCTTAAAGGGAAACGACTTTTGGCTCACGTATGCATACGAGAATGAAACTTCTGTACATTTTAATCTGATTAATTCCTAAGGATTTAAAATTAATTGGCTTGGGCACTCCTAGACCGGACTATAAGATTTCTGCATCAGGGTTTCTGCGAGAGCTGTGCCGAATAGGTATTTTTAAGGGATAGTGGTAAGGGATTGGGTTGGGGGGGGGGGG